AAGTGGTAACCACTAGTCTGTTCTCTGTCCATGTGAGCTTGCATCTTTTTTGTTATATTCACTTGTTTGTTGTGTTTTTTAGATTCTACATATGAGTAACATCAATGCTGTATTTGTCTTTGACTTATGACTTCGGCTGACAAAATGCCCTCCCAGTCCATCCATGTCGCTGCAAATGGCAGATTTCTTTCTTTTTTATGGCTGAGTAATATTTCATGCACACACACACAGGCCACATCTCCTTTGTCCATTCATCTCTTGATGGACAAGTAGGATGCTTTCCATATATCTTGGGTGTTATAATAATGCTGCTATAAACATGGGGGTGCACGTGTCTTTTCAAATTACTGTTTTTGTTCTTGGATATATACCTGGGAGTGGAATTGCTGGATCCTATGTAGTTCTATTTTTAGTTTTTTGAGGCACTTCCATACTGTTCCACAGTGGCTGGACAAATTTATAATACCACCATAGTGTACAGGGGTTGCCTTTTTTTCCACCCTTCAGCCAACATTTGTTGTTTGTGCTCTTTTTGATGATAGGCATTCTGACAGGTGTGAGGTATTATCCCATTGTGGTTTTGCATACAGTAGTTAACATTTGCATTTGTAGTTAGCATGTGGGGAATACTTTCCCATACTTTTAAATTTTCTCAACTTTTTCAATTAAATTTTATGATATGTGATAGTTTAATTAATGTGTTTCTATTGTGTGTATATTCAGGCTGGTGACAGGTTTTGTTTGGTCTTTTTGGCAGTTATGAATAATCCTGTAAGATCATCTAGAGGCATAAAGTTTTGTTGTATAGTAGTTCTGTTCATTTCTTCAAGATAAAATTTTAGAACGTGTGTCGCTGAGCTAAAGGGGAATAAATGTTTTGAAGATGTTGTGTACATACTGGGAAAATATTTTCCTGAATTGTTCTCTAGTTATTCTTATATATGAGTGACCTGGGGCTCTTTGCTTCATAGAATTTTCATCAGTGATCTTAGAGGTGAACCAACTTCAGAATTCAGGATTATAATTTAAAACAGCTTTGACAGAATGGAGAATTGGTTAGTTGATAACAGATTTAAGTTCAGTAGGGGAAAATGGGGGTAGCAGATACAGGGTAGATAAAAATGGCCAAAATACTATTTATTAAGTAGCTGTTTCTGCACGTGTGCTTAAAAGAGACTAGAAGCCAGAGGAGATATGACTAGGTTTTTCTGTGACCCTGTGGGGAGCTTTGCTATGGTAAGGGCTGTTCCAAAATGCAAGAAAAGCAAGCCCATTTGATCAAATGTGCTATTCTAAAAAGACTGTTAAATTTTTGTATTTTAAGCTATTAAGAATTCAGTGACACTAAATACCTTCTTGGGGAACATTAAGTGTTCATTTTAATTATTTACTATAATTATTTGCATGTAAAATGAATGTACAAAAGACTTTCTGAAAGTTACTACTATTTCTTTTCTCAATTAAACAAACAGAGGATATATCTAGGAAGCTTATCTTTTTCTCCATGAAATTTTAAGGGAAATAGAATTACCTTCACCTTGTAAATAGCACTTTGAGAATAGGAATGCTATTCTAAAATAAAGAAGCATGTGTTTATAATATACACATACAAAAACCTAAAGACATAAGGAAGGGGTTTATTAATAAAAACCTTCTCTGTTTGGATATAGGTTGTATTTTTGTGTGCGTTTTTAATGTGATTTCTACCATGGACATCTGGACCAAAGATACCTATTGGGAACTGTATTCTGCTTATTTGTGGTACATTTCATTCTGATTAATGTTTAGAAAAATGACCATGGTATACATATGATTCAGGAAGACTTTATAATTTGATCTTTTTTTGTTGACTGATACTCAGCATGGTTTTAAGACTGTTAACATCACATGAAAGTGAAAATGTTAGCTGCTAAGTTGTGTCTGACTCTTTGCAACTCCATTTACTTTAACCGGCAGGCTCCTCTGTCCATGGAGTTCTCCAGGCAAGAATATTGGAGTGGGTAACCATTCCCTTCTCCAGGGAATCTTCCCAACCCAGGGATTGAACCCGGCTCTCTTGCATTGCAGGCAGATCCTTTTCCATCTGAGCCACTAGGGAAGCCCCCTTAACATCTCATCAGATAACTTAAAAATCAGAACATCTAATTAGCCAGCTTGCTGCTGCAGCTGCTGCTAAGTTGCGTCAGTCGTGTCTGACTCCATGCAGCCCCATAGACGGCAGCCCCCCGGGCTCCTCCGTCCCTGGGATTCTCCAGGCAAGAACGCTGGAGTGGGTTGCCATTTCCTTCTCCAGTGCACAAAAGTGAAAAGCGAAAGTGAAGTCGCTCAGTCGTGTCCGACTCTTCACAACCCATGGACTGCAGGTCACCAGGCTCCTCCGTCCATGGGATTTCCCAGGCAAGAGTACTGGAGTGGGGTGCCATTGCCTTCTCCAAATTAATCAGCTTGAGCTAGCTTAAATCAATTAATTAAATATCTCCACAAATGACAGGAGTTTGCTGTGTTTTTATTATCTGGAGAACTTTGTCTTCTTATGCTAATAAGCTGATTTTTTTTTTGGTCAGGATTCCCACGATTTGTAGTTGAATGTCAGATTCTTTTCTAACAGAAACACTTTACACAGGTCACTTATTATTATTATTCCTGTGATCAGCACTGTTGCCCGTGTCAGCCTTCCTTAGGGAGCAGTGTCCACACCTGTGTGTGCTCTGCCCAGGGTGCCTTTTGGAAGCGCTGAGAGCCACGGTCTCCTGCTTTCCATGGCCAGCACAGCGGATGGAGGACGTGCCAGCCGAGTGAGATGGTTGATGCCAGGGTAAAGTAAGTGGGGCCACAGCTGTCATTAGTTTTTCCATCTTAACAGTGGCTAATCCGTGGTTCCTTCCACAGCTGTGAAGGGTTGGGAAAATGGCAGCTGTACTTTGCTCTTAGAAATCCATCTTTTAGAAATATTTTTCTGATTATAATTTGGTATGTATTTAGTGTAGAAAATCAGGAAAATTTAGAGAAATATGGAAAAATCAGTAATGATTATCTAGTAGAGAGGAGTCCTATTTAATTTTTGTATTTCCAATTTTTTTTGTATTTCCAATTTTTCTTTGTATTTCCAATTTTACACATAATTAAGAGCAACCTATTATACATATAATTTCATGAACTCACTCTTCTTCCCCCTCAGCTAAGTTCAGTTCAGTCACTCAGTCGTGTCTGACTCTTTGCGACCCCATGAATCCCAGCACGCCAGGCCTCCCTGTCCATCACCAACTCCCAGAGTTTACTCAGACTCATGTCCGTTGAGTTGGTGATGCCATCCAACCATCTCATCCTCTGTTGTCCCCTTCTCCTCTGGCCTTCAATCTTTCCCAGCATCAGGGTCTTTTCAAATGAGTCAGCTCTTCTCATGAGGTGGCCAAAGTATTGGAGTTTCAGCTTCAACATCAGTCCTACCAATGAACACCCAGGACTGATTTCCTTTAGGATGGACTGGTTGGATCTCCTTGCAGTGCAAGGGACTCTCCAGAGTCTTCTCCAACACCACAGTTCAAAAGCATCAATTTTTTGGCGCACAGTACCTTGTTAACACTATGTGCTAATAATAAAAATATTTCTAAAAACCCAATACTGAATGGATGTGTAATTATTATTTGTACAATATGCCATTATTTACTTAACTATTTGATTGTCCAATTTTAAATATTATAAATAATCCTATAATATACATTGTATTTTATATATACATATATACATTCTTGTGTTCATCTCTGATTATAATAAAATAGCATTATGCTACCTGTTAGTTGTATATTGTCAGTAAAAATTTGTAGGCTATCAGGTAGGTAATCATTGTAGGGAGGGCATACATCTGGTAAGACTGGATATGAGGTATATACACTGTTCTTTGAAAGGTGTACACAGGGCCGTGGCAGCTGTAAGATTGGAGCATCATAATTTGGGAAAGTTCAGGAGCAGAGATGTGAATGCGAGTGGCCAGGGACTGTGTACATCGGTTTGTGTGACTGTGATCCAACCATAGTGGAAGAATAGCCTTGAGAAATTGAAGCAAACAAAGTTTGAAATGTGGAATTCGGCATTGTGTTAGTAGGTAGATGTGGCAGTTAAAGTCCTGAATTTTCTGGACCATTGTCCTTTTCAACCATTGATTAAAAATGTTAATGTCGCACATTTTATGTGCAAAACCCTGAAACTCAGTAAATCATGGTGGAGGTCCACAGGGGTCTATACTTCAGACGGGGTGGTGGTATCGGGCCACTGAATGCAGGGTCCTGTTGTCCTCTTGACCGTCAGACTGTGGTCCAGTGCTGGTTAGGAAAAGTTTGCCCACGGTGGCAGTTGGAAATCTTTGGAGGTGTGAATTCAAGGCAGAGTCACAGCTTTTTAAATGCTGCAAATATTAGCAAGACTTTCTTAATGTGGATTGGAGGGGCCTGGTTAGGGCCACAAACAGGAGGTAGAGGAATGCAGGCTTGGGACGCCTGGGCTTCAGGGCTTAGGCTGGGTTAGAGGGGAGAAGGGCTTAAAGTTAAATGGATGATTTAAGTTCGTGGTTCTGATTACTCAGTGAACTCTTTATAATACATAAAAGCCTCAGTCCTGTCCAAGATTTGCTGAATCAGAATTTTGGAGGTATGAGACCAGGCATGTGTGTGTGTGTGTGAAGCTCCCTCAGAGATTCCTATGTGTATCTGGTTAGAGACCACAAAATGAATTAATCTGTGTTTTTCTACAGTCCCAAGAATTTGTCAGGTTATCTAGATCTATTGCTTTGAATCTTAATACACTTAATGTTCATGTGTTTGCATTTTTCTTTTGTATATTTTTTTTCACACTGCCTTCACTTCTTGAGAAATTTTTCTGCTAGATGGCTTCCAATGTAAACTTATTAATTAGTGTTATTCCATGCAATCAATTTTGAGCAAATGAAATGCACTGTAAAAGTTCACAGGAGTTTCCGTAACTTTTCTTTTTAAATTACATGACAGGGACAAAAAACAAGATGGATAAGCAAGCATGGTATCTAAGAACTTCAAAGCTGGCCCTGGCCTTGGCAATTATCCGCTCCAAACCAGCAGACAAAAGCATCAGAGAGTACACAGAGCATCTTGCGAGGATGGTGTCCCAGCAGGAATCAAGATGGAGATCAAAAGTCGAAGCCTTGGAAGCTGAAGTTCTACAGTTACGTCAGAAGCTTCTCCTGAGCAGGATTTTTTCAGGATCGTCTAAGAGTGGTGAGTGGATGTGACTTGGGGATGTGTCAATCTGTTCTTTGTCAGCTTCACGGTTACTTAGAAACTCATTACCAAAACACTCAAGTTGTTCGGTTTCCTAAAATTAGACTTCTTCTTGCACTATGAAGATTTTTTGCTTCTAGTCATTTATGAAAAGTAAAAAAAAAAAAAATAGCTTGTTGTCACTTTCTAATAAATGAGGCTGAAGTTGGAGACTGAAAATTGTCTAGAGATGAAGGCAATACTGCTTTAAGCCTTCTGGAGAAATTAATTTTAAAATTTCATTCATCCTTATATTTTACTCTGTATTATATGTTGCTTTTACATTGCATAATTCGCCCAGCAGTCCTGTATCAAGTCCCAGCTCTGGACCAGGTATGCAGTGTGTGGTGAGGACCAGAAGTGCATAGGAAAGGTGCTGCCTTACCATGTAGTACCGACCATTCCAGCAGAGGAAGCAGGCCTTAGATAAGGAGCCTCATTGTGATGGATGTTACCATAGAGAAAGTGCAGAGAAGGAAGCCATTCATTTTTCTGGTTCCTGGAGAGGCTCCTCAGGTCTGGGCCCTCAAGGGTCTGTCTGATAGTGAGGTGATCGGAGCCCGCGGTCAGGGCAGCAGGGAGAATCCACGCCCCGTCCAGCAGGCCCATTTTGTATTCCAGAGCCCAGGATACTGTGAGGTGGAGATCTGATGGGGAGAGGAAGAGAGGCGAATCGGAAGCAGGGTCAGAAAGACTCTGAGTGTCAGCCTGAGGAATATCCCTGCAGTGAGTTGGCCAAGGTGGTTCCCTTAAGACCCCTATGAGAGAGTGAAAGGGGGGCTATAAGAATGAGCTGAGAACAGCAGGGAAAACGGGGACCCTCTGGGACACACCAGAGCACGTAGGCACTTCCTTCCTCAGGATCCCTTCACCTTCTTGACTCAGAGCATTGACCCTCATATCGTGATAGTAAAATTTAATTTTGGTGATTTTTTGAAAACGTAAATCAGGTCTTCTTACTCCTTTGCCAAAAACCTTTTCCTGACTCCCCATTGTGCCTCGTACCAGGTTCCCGCGGGTGGCGTGGCTGGTGATGTCGCCCTGACATCACCTCTGCTTCCCTGCAGGTGCCTGGCCTCCTCATAGCACATGCACTCTGGGCACCTTGGGCTTCCTGCTGACCACTGTGGGCTATCCTTACAGTGGATCGTTGCTGTGATCAGGTGTTTGACATGTGATTGCCTCTCCCCTTGGTTGAGGTCTTTTTTTTTTAAGCCATGTCTGCTCAGTGACCACTCTACTTGCATCCCCCCACAGTTATTTTTTAACCCAAACATCCCCTTGTTGGTTATATGCTTGTTTGCTTAGGTGGTCACTGCCTTATCTCCTTGACTTGAGTCCAGCTTTGCTGAGTAGAGGGGTCTCTGATTTGCTCAGCACCCTCTACTCATTACCCATCCCAAAGCTTGACTCACAGCAGGTGCTTCATCCATGTTCATCAAATGAAGTGGAGCGTAGAGGATGCTTTGGTGCTGGCCATGATGGAGGCCAAGGAGGCCTCCTAGCTCAAAAGGAGACAGGTTCTGAAAGGGTTACTGAAGGCCACATGAAGAGTGAGGATTCGGGCTAGATCTGTGATTGTTAGAACTAAAATGAATGACTCCAGAATAAGCACTGGAGACTTCTGTGAATGAGTTCAAAGGGGGTCAAGGCAGCTGGAGGTGTGGAGAGCAGTTGAGGTCTCTAATTCATTAAGTTGATTGCACTGCTTCAAATCCACACAGTGAGCACAGAAATCTGGGCATATAATAAAAGGTTGAGTCCAGGCAGATATACCTAAAAGGAAAGAAGTAAAGTCCTAAAACTCAAGAGGGGATAAACAGCCTGGAAATATAGACTGACTGCAGGGATCCATTGATATATAGTGACAGTGACCTTGTCACTGTGGATGAGGCTGTAGGGTGGGTGGACCTTTGATGGGGAGGCTGCAGCTTCCAACATTTCAGGGTGGACAGAGGAAAGGAGCCATGGGAAGACTGTGGCTGTCATGCTAGGATACGCGGATGTAGTGAACCTGTGCCTGCTGTGGGTATCAGGGTACCAGCTAACTTCAGGAAGACTCTCAACTAATATCCGAAGAATTGATGATTTTGAACTGTGTTGTGGAGAAGACTCTTGAGAGTCCCTTGGACTGCAAGGAGATCCAACCAGTCCATCCTGAAGGAAATCAGTCCTGGGTGTTCATTGGAAGGACTGATGCTGAAGCTGAAACTCCAGTACTTTGGCCAGCTGATGGGAAGAACTGACTCATTGGAAAAGACGCTGATGCTGGGAGGGATTGAGGACAGGAAGAGAAGGGGACGACAGAGGATGAGATGGTTGGATGGCCTCACCGACTCAATGGACATGGGTTTTTGGGTGGACTCCGGGAGCTGGTGACAGACAGGGAGGCCTGGCGTGCTGCAGTTCATGGGGTCGCAAAGAGTAGGACAGGACTGAACAACTGAACTGAACTGAACTGAATATCCTTATGTAACTGAAGTCTCATTATTACCTGAGCAAAAATACTGTTACAAGATTTACAGCCACATTTTATCCCTCTGGTTTTCTATGCATTGCTCTCTTTAAGGATATATTTGAATAGCAGACAATCAATATATCTTACCTTTTTTGTACAGTCATGTGATTGGTATAATGGCACATATGTAGCAGTTCCCACTAATACTGAACTGTGAATATCATAACATCCATAGTACCCAACTGTTGTTTACCATCGAGGGTCTGTTTACAACACCAAGACAGTGGTGTGTATGTGATTTGTTTGGGACGTGAGTGGACCTCAGTGATAACTTGTTTTTAGTCTGGACTTTTTCCTTTACAGTGCCTGCAAGAGAAGTTTTCAAATATCATGTAGTTAAAATCTAAAAAAAAAAAAAATCTCTGTTGCTCACATTAAGAATTGCAGGCTCCAACTAATATAAATAAAGGAAAAAAAAAAGGAGTTGCAGGTAAAGCGTTTCAGTGCAGATGTTTGGGAATATAATCTGTCTCTCCATCTGTTAGCTTAAACTTGAAAAGTGAGGAATAAATGGATAGATTCAGATAAATAGTTACTATTAAAGAGAAAAAGGAAAAAACTACAAGGGGGGTTATTAGATTGATAGGAAAATAAAGGAGGAACATAGTTGGTGTTTAAAGATGTATGATTGAAAAGACTGACATACCTTGCTCTAAGAAAATACCATCCCTGAAAATCAAACTATTATATAGGTGATTGATGTTATTATATATTTCTGTCCGGAGTTTTTAGGGCTTCTTTACACATGCAACTGTTCGCCACTGTTCAGGGGCCACAAACCCTCAATAAATGGTGAATGGCATGCTTCCTGACCAAGAGACTGGGGAACTTAATTTACAGCATCAGCTACCCACTGAAGCAGCTGAGCAAACCAGAATTGAATAAGGCAGAGCTGAAATGGCACGGTAAACAAACGAGGAAGCATGATATCGTTTATGCAGCATTTAAAGAGCTTGTCTATTTCGTTATTCTGATTTATTTTTCTACAGGTTCTTAAAGGAAGTTAGGAAGAACAGAAGGATGGAAGGAAGGAAAGAAGGGTAGGGACATAGGGAGGGAGGGAGGATCAGTCAGTTGAGTTCAGTCGCTCAGTCATGTCTGACTCTTTGCCACCCCATAGACTGCAGCACACCAGGCCTCCCTGTCCATCACCAACTCCCGGAGTGTACTCAAACTCATGTCCATTGAGTTGGTAATGCCATCCAACCATCTCATCCTCTGTCGTCCCCTTCTCCCACCTTCAATCTTACCAAGCATCAGGGTCTTTTCAGATGAGTCAGTACTTTGCATCAGGTGGCCAAAGTATTGCAGTTTCAGCTTCAGCATCAGTCCTTCCAGTGAATATTCAGAACTGATTTCCTTTAGGATGGACTGGTTGGATCTCCTTGCAGTCCAAGGGACTCTCAAGAGTCTTCTCTAACACCACAGTTCAAAAGCATCAGTTCTTCTGTGCTCAGCTTTCTTTATAGTCCAACTCTCACATCCATACACATGACTACTGGAAAAACCATAGCTTTGACTAGATGGACCTCTATTGGCAAAGTAATGTCTCTGCTTTTTAATATGCTGTCTAGGTTGGTCATAGCTTTTCTTCCAAGGAGCAAGTGTCTTTTAATTTAATGGCTGCAGTCACCATCTGCAGTGATTTTGGAACCCCCCAAAATAAAGTCTATCACTATTCCCACTGTTTCCCCATCTATTTGCCATGAAGTGGTGGGACCAGATGCCATGATCTTAGAAGGGTTGGGAGATAGGGAGGAAGAGGGGATGGACCAAAGAAATCTGTGTATCCAGTGTCACATTTCTCAAAGCCTTCTAGGTGATTTGTCGCAGACAGTTTAGCTGTCTACACAGTAGCCTGGCTCCTTCTTCCTTACGAAAATACTACAGTTTTGATTTGGCAGACATGCACCCATGCCTGGTGCGGGTCATCTGTGAAAGGCTTAGACTTGTTTTGCCAGCATGGTCCTAAGGTTGGACAGGGACCAGTGGAAACTAAAAGAGAATCTTTGGAGCTTTTGACAAAGATTTATCACTTTGTGTAAAGAGATTGAAGTCCATGAACAATACAAACTTTAAAACGTTTTTACCTCAACCTCTTGCTTCCTGCGTGGGTGCTGCCACATGAAGATATGATGCCTTGAACTGTGGCAGCCACGTTACAGCCATGGGGCAATACTGACAAATCTATGCCAGCTTGGTAAGGGTGGTGAAGTGGGAGGATAAGAAAAGCCCGGTCCTTCTTGTTATTACTGAGCAACCAGAGCGGCTCTACGGTGAATGTATTAGGAATTTTTCAAAGGTAAACAGTGGTCACTTCCATGGACAGAGCAGCCTGGCGAGCTTCAGTCCATAGGGTTGCAAAGAGTTGGACATTACTGAGCAACTGATGGTTTAAGTCATTATTATACTAGGATTCTCTTCCTTATAACTGAGCACA